AGATTACCCGCAGTAATCCCCCCTCGCCCAAATGGCCAATTCAGGCCGGGGCTTTTGTCTTTCTGGTTGCACCCACGTGTCTATGGGTTGTGCTGTTGTTGCCTTTGTTGGGTTTTCCTGTTTGCGCATAAAGCCGGGAGTTCTCAATCGCTTGTTGATTGCTTCACTTCAGAGTCTCTGTGCTTTTCTTTGTCTACAGCGCTCAAGGGAAGCCGGCGCTGATACAAAGTATCTGCTTGCAGTTTGAGTTAAGTGCCACCACGTGTCAGCAATCAGTTCGCGGTCTTCGCTAACTTCCCCTTTTTCGCTGCTAGCGCCTGGGATGGTGAAGTTGACTAGGTGAAGCCGAGCAGCGGCGTTCGCCTTGCCATGCCGTGCCAGCTGAATCTGACAGCTTTGTCCTGTTTCCTGCAGTCTGAGCTCAGAAACTCTTTTTCTTATTACTACTTCAAATTATCTCAAGTTCTGCTGTTCACCATACATCTCCTTGATCCTGTTGCATTTTTCAATTACGTTTTCCATTCTTGTTTATTATTCCCTTACTTCTAATCCTTTAGAAGCAAAATAATATCCAAAATCCAATACAAAGTTTGATTAAATTTGGATCCTCATGTAAAGGTAGAACTCTCTGTTTTAACAATATAGGAAAAAGAATTTTGCTCAGTTGATTCATATACTTCTGGTTTATGTACTGAAAAACATTACTTCATTTATACTTCTGTGAGGAAGATTTTCTGGCATTCATTCAAGATATATCGGTTGAATGTGCGGTTTTCTTTTTAGGGTATCATCTTTACGACTAGCCTACAAAGATCTTGAAATCCAGATGAGGGATGAAAAATTAAATGTGGCTGGTAAAAAGAAAACAGAGGTAGAAAGACTTGGCATGGGATTCAGTAGTAAGAGAAGGTATGTGTTTGATTCTGAGAATTGACTTTAATATTGTACATCTCATGATATGTTTTCACTTTCCAAGATGCTGTACTAAATAGCCTCTACTAATAATAGAGTTTAATAGTCTAATAGAGTTTATAGTCCTGCCACCTCAAGTTGACTCCCTCTTTCCCGCCCCAGATTATTTGTTTAACGTATCAAGGGACTATATGTTTGTGTGTATGGACTCTGATTATGAGCAAGGTGATATGCAGAGCAAAGAGAAGAGAGAAGACAAGACAAGACAAGACATTTTTGGCTACATCCTGTCACAAGCTGTTTGATGTCCAGTATTCACATAATTTATGCATATTTAGAGTTGGTGCATAATAAGTTTTGAATCCATAGAAAGCTAGCCGAACGGTTCAGTTGTTCAAATAAGATGTGTTAATTTAATTTAGCTTAGTAGATGCCGTTCATTCAAGATTCTTTTCCTCTTTTTCCCCACAGCAATCCTCTGAGGCAGGTTGGGCAGAGTGAGTGACTGGTCCAGGAAACTAGGTCCTGGGTCTCCTCCCTCCTAGTCCTGCATCTTCAGTACTACTCTACACTGGCTATTGGCCCAGAGTCCCCCAGGGTGCTTTCATGGCTGAAGAGGTCTAGAATTTGGGTCTCCTCACTCCTGGTCTAGCACCTTTACCCTTGGACCATTCTGCCTCTTGGACTGAGTGGGAGGGGCTGGCCCAGAGTCCCCCATGGAGCTGAGCGGGGCACTGGAACCTGGGTCTCCCTGCTCCAAGGCCAGCACCTTCCCCTCTAAAGGCACCCCTCAGGACAAGTCAAGGGCTCCACCTTCTCTGTGGACTTCTTGCCAGGCATCAGAGTTTGAAGCAACAGGGTCTTGGGAAAGGCTTTTTAAAGTACTATTTAAGAATGTTTTAAGATTGGTCTCACAGTGTAAGGTAGGACCTCTTGGCAACCTTTTAGTGATTAAAGGCCACAATATATTGTAGGGCCAAAAAATGGGAGGGGCACATCACATTTATGGGCAGTAGGTTGTTTTTATTGGGTATTTTTCTTTTTAACATTTTTCTTTGTTTTTTAACCTTGATTTTGGGGTTTACATTATTTTTCATAGTTCAGCAACTACAGTGGGAGCTCTGCAGGTCACCAAAAGGATAGTGCAAGGATGTGATGATGCAAGTTGCCCACCCTTAGAAGGCCTGAAACAGGATTAGTGCTACAAAGTTTCTTTTCTTATTCTGGATTGTGTTGCAATTACAATTGCAATTACAGAGTGTCAACCACCTTTGATTTCAGTCTGATTTTGTTTTTTCCCTTCATAAGCTAACATTTCAAACATGTTTTTTCCTAGTGGTATTTCTCATTCGGTAAGTTCAGATATGCAGATCATAGAACAAGAAATACCTACAAGTGCAAAACCGAGGAAAAAGTATAATGATGAAGATGACTTGTATTTTTCTTGCCCCAATTCAAGGTAATCATTTATTTTAATTTTAAACTCTTGAAAATAGTTTTTAGCATACATGTGCCATTTTGATTATTTAGAAAATAATGGGTCCATGATCTTATTTTAAGATAGATCTTGATAAACAAAGATTTTCTTTTCCTACTGATACAGAGTTTCAGCAAGTAGCAGACTAATGCTGTCTGGGCTCTGGGGTGGGAGAGCACCAGGAAATCTCAAGGCTTTAGGCTAGATTGAGAAGGTGAATACTTCTAGAAGAAAACAGCATGATAGCACCAAGAATCACGCTTGACTCAAGGATATGTTTATCTTTACCTGTCTGTCCTAGAAATACTTAGCGAGTGTTTGACACCTTGCTGATCTGTTACTCAGCAGTTGAATAGATAATCCTGGCTGTCTTTGCTTTCCATCTTCATTAGAATAGATTTGCTTTCCCTTACATAGGATTGGAGAACTTGGGGGAGAGGGTGTTTCCCAGGAATCAATATCATTGGAGTAAGTGGTGACAATTTTTTTTTCATGCCATTGGGTGAATTCTAAAGGGCAAAATGGATGATTTAAATTCTGCAAGTTTTAAGTTGCCCACTGGGTTTTCTAAATATCCCCCAAGTGGGAAAATTGGCCTATTTTTTGTTAAAGCATGAAGAAAATTAAGATACCCATTTTAAATTTTCCCCAAAAATGCCTCCCCAAAGGATAAAACATTTTGAACATGCCTACTTGTGGTTGCAGAAAGACTACTAGGAGTGGTGTGTGGATTGTCCATCCGTGCCAAGTAATACTATGGGGTAGTATAGGTGTTGAAAAAGAAAGTATGCCTCCTTTTGTATTATGTTTATTTTTATTAAAATGTGAGCAAAGTATAAATTTTATCAAATTTTACATACATTGCATCAAATGGATACATGTTGTCGGCTGAAGTGACTGCAGGTCGAGTACCAAAGAGGAATGAATGACAGAAGCCAGAATAAAAGAAATTGCAAAGTTTTACTGAATATTTCTGGATTCTTACATAAAATTCCCTTCCTCACCCGCTGTGGTGGGTATGGAGAGCATGCCATGGCAAAACACCCACAAAGACTGCCATTGTTAAGCAAATTTTGCAGCCCTTCAACCTCTCTCCCTTCTGAGGTTGCTTAGATTGCTTTTGGGAAAATAAGTCAGGAAATGGTTGCACAGGGAAGTTACATATAAAGTGAGGATTAGCTGCATTGTTAAGTGAAGGTATTGGGCAGTTAAGGCAAAGCAGGAAATAATTAGCTAATTGAGGTAAACAAATAGGAAAAGACTAGCTTATCCAAGCAAGTCTTCAGGTGCTAATTAAAAGCACAGTTCAGTCATAGGACAATAGTCATGCAGTGCTTTCTAGTAACATTGCTGTTGTAAAGAAATGGATCCAAGGTTGACATCTTTTATTCTCAGAGCCTTCAAAATCAATGAAATATTTTCACTGGTCATTCAGGTATTTTGATTCATCTGACTTGAGAAGTAGTGCTTTTTCTAAATGGGATGACAATACTGATTCATTCTGGAAGAAAGAAAGCAGCAGCAGAGATATGGATATGATTCTGTCTTCCAAGCCTGCAAGTTATTCAGAGAGGTGACTAAAGAAAATTTTCTTTACAAAATACCAAACCTTAAAATGTCACCAACATGAAGTCAATTACTTGCTTGCTAACCTACTACTATTGAATAATCTCTGCAAAATTGGCTAAACTTGTATGCTCAAATTCCAGTATTGGAATGAAAATTTACATATGCAAAGAAATCTATCTATTAGTAATCTGAATATTATACTAATAACCCCTCTGCATAGGGTGGTGAAGGATTTGGACTTAAGAGTTTAAAAACACTATTTTGCTTTCTGGTTGCTTCTACAATTTGCATAAGTATACGAGAAAATTCATTGATGAAGCAATTGGGAATGTGAAAAGCTCTGGAAAGCATTCTAATAAGGAAGTAGCCAATGAAATGTGTGCATAATCCAGACTGTAGATTTTATAGGTAAAATTTAAATGTATAGGCATGATGTCTTGTTTGCAGTTTTACCATATTGCACACATGGTTGTGAAAGTTGTAGTCAAAAAGGAGGAACGTCAAGGGAATACAGGTAGTTCTCACTTAACAACTGCAATAGGCACCAGAAAATTGTTAAGTGATTCACCTCATGATCCAACCCAATTTTACAGCCATTTTTATGACGGACATCAAGCAAATCACCATGGTCATTAAGCAAAGCACATGGTCGTTAAGCGAATCCAGCTTCCCCAATGGACTTTTTTGCTGGAATTCACTTGATGACCACATGATTTGCTTAATGACTGCACCGATTCACTTAACGGCTGTCATAAAAGTTGCAAATCAAGATCATGTGAGTGCAGGAGGCGGTGTGATGGTTTGCAATGGTTGCAAGCGCAAGTACAGGCCGTAAAGCACTTTTTCCAAGGCCATCATAACTTCGAACCATCGTTAAATGATCATTAAGTGAGGACTACTTGTATAAAGCTCAAAATTCCTTTGGATCAAAGTGGTAAATAACAAATACAGCAAATTTATTCTTCTAAAGATAATACATTTTCTGTGTTTGTTTTATTCTTCTAAAAATAATACATTTTCTGTACTTGTTTTCTATTTATATGCTTTTTTAAAGAATTCCAAGCAGTTTTCAGTGATTGTCATAAGTGATTCTACATTAAGAAGGACAATCTAAGAATAGAATTTGTTATATATAAACATTGATAATATAAAAGTCAGATAACAAGTAGTTGTCATTATGTATAAAACTATCACATTAGGTAGTATTCACAATATTAAGGGTATTTGTAGAAAGAATTCTTGTTGAACTTCTGAGACATAACCATGTGAAAACATTTCTTAGGCCATCGTCTCGTCGGAAACCAGAGCATGAAATTTCTCCAAGCACAGATGAAGCACAAAAGAAATTTGGCAATGCAAAAGCTATTTCATCAGATATGTATTTTGGAAAGCAAGACCATGCTGAAGTAAGTATAATCAAACACTTTGAAATTATTCACTGGTTATAGTTTCAGGATATTATCCCATCATAATACAATTGGCTGAATAAAGAAAGATATGGAGTACAGTGGAATTACAGAAACACTAGTATGCTTTATATCTTCCCCAATTACTATCTAATTTTTCCAAGGGGAAAATCAGTAAGAAAAGTCAAGAGGAAGGATCCAGGGGAAAAATAATTTGAGTGTCGACATGACAGAATATGGAGTATAAACTGTGTTTGGAAGGATTCATTTATTCAGGGAAAAAGCTCAGTGCTGTAAATATTTCAATACAGTCCATGTAAGTATTGTTTCATTTAGATATAGAACCAAAGAAGTCTGCTTAGAAGAGTAAGATTCCATTTATGTTTTGAGGTGATGTAAACTTTGTACTGTATGGATGGATTAATATTGTAGATTATTATGGTGGACTATATTATAGCTGTGTATGTACTCTGAAGAGTCGGCCTTCTCTGCTTGCTTGCTTTCATTGCCACTTTGGAAATCACTATCTAGATGGGAAAGGTGGGCACATTCCTTATGACTGAAATCTCATTCACTCTTTATAGTACGAAGCTAGAGTTCGGTTAGAAAGGCTTTCCGGGAATGCTGCCATAAGTTCAGCTGACTTGTTTGAAGATCAAAAGAAACAGCCATCAGGTATGGACGGAAAAAAGCTGAGTTTCAGATATTACTAGTTTTATAAAGCAACCTGTTAAGTTTATTAATTATAATGTACTAGTTAAGACTTTGGAAAATAAATTAAGTACAGTGCATTTCTAGATAAATCTGTTTAGGAGTCTTAATATGTTTCAAGATTTTTGTGTCCATACAAAATCAAGCACAGGGCAGTTGGCCGTGTCATTCCACCATTGTCATGAGTGCACCCTCAGCCACAAAGCTCACAGGGTGACTCTTTCTTAACCCAACCTTCCTCACAAGGTTCTGGTTGCAGGAAAAAATGGGAAGAGGGGCTGAATAAAATGCAGATTATAAATCTAATGAATGTCAAAATCTTATGCTAGCCCTCTACAATCTAAATAAATGGGAAATACTGAGTATGTGAAGAAATGACAATTGTCATTTTCTTAGACCATTTTATTAATGTTTTGAAGCCTAATTTTTTACATTGATAGGCTATGAATTTAGAAAGCTCTGCCTTCAATTTTGCATCATAACTTGCTTATTGAAAACTGTTATGTGATAAAAGAATCAGTTGATTGGCTCATCTGCTCAGAAATTAGGATTCTGAACACAATGGATGTGAACTATCCTTTCACATCTAGACTTATTTTATGTGTTATATGTGTGCCTGTACATAGTTACTGTTTTTTGTTTGAATGTTTATGCCACAAAATATCACTAACTTTTAAGTACTGTAAGTACAAATAATACACTTTTAATAATGCAAATATTATTTTTATTTGTAGAAATAATTTTATATTTGTATGCTGCCTTTCTGTGAGGTAGAAATGGCTTATTCCTCCTTTTTTTTTTTTTGCTACAAATGCTTTAATGTAATTGACAAATTCAAGTGCATATCCAGGATAGGTAGGAGTGTACATTTAATATTCTGTTACAGTTGCAGTTTGAGCTTTAAGCCTAAATGCAGAAGGAACATTTTAAATATAGCACATCTGTTTTGAAATAGAACTAAACTCAGAGAAACAGGGGGGGGGGATTGTTTCTCAAATATTAGCTGTAAATTGTTGCTCTTGCATACACTTAAGATGTTCAGCGCTTAGAGATATGAAATCATGAAAATTTCTGATGGATTGGTCACACTGTGGCTCAAATACCAAGGGGAGGAATGTTTAAAATGTCAGATTCCATTATATCAGCCTTTCTTAACTGGGATTCCATGAGAGATCATGATTGAAACAAAAATTTTTTTTTTAACTTCACATGCTGCACAATGCTAATGTTTGGAGTGGTGAGAATTTTTACACACTGTGACTCAGCTGCCAGCCTGTTACTTTGCTGCTGTTGTAAAAATGGTAAAATGTGGTTGTGTTTATGCAGTGGTTCCCTGAGACCTTAACATTATTTCAGAGGCCCTCCAAAATAAAAAGGTGGTGAAAGGTTGCATTATGCAATGTAATACATTCATTAAGACTTATTCTAAACTCTGAAAGGTCATTTCCAATGAAATAGCCTCCCTCTTTATTTTATTATTTATTTATTTGATTTATATACTTCTCCTGGCTGGGAGGCAGGAACTTTCTGGTTAGTACTTGAATGGGGAAACCATGCAGACATTTCAAGGGCTGTACAGGTAGTCCTTGGGTTGTAACAGCAATTGGGGCTGGAATTACCATTGCTAAGCGATGTGGTCATAAAGTGCAACATCAAGTAATGGCATTGCTTAGTGATGGCAATCCCAGCATTCCTGGTTGCCTTTGTAACCCCAGGACCATGCAGGTCATGAAGCGGGAAGAGGTGGGAGTCCCAAGGCAAGCAGGCTGGCAGGTGAGTTTGTGGGTGCCGCAGGCAGAATCTACAAAGCACAGGTGGGTGCTAATGGGTGCGGGGGTCCATGGGCAGGCACTAGGGAGCAGAAGTGGGTGCGCAAGTGCTGCAGGTGGTCCGGGGATGCTGCAGGTAGGTGCTAGGGAGCACAGGCAGGTGAGCAGAGAGCAGAGGGGTGCTGTGAGCAGGCACTATGGAGCGTGGGCAAATGAAAAAGTGGCAGGAGCCAGCTTCCCCATTGACTTTGCTTGTAGGAAGCTGGCAGGGAACATCAGAAACCACAATCACATGACTGCGGCTCACTGCAACGTTATAATCACAAGCCATACACCCAAGCACCTGGATTGCGATCATGTAACTGCAGGGATGCTGCAACAGCTAGAACTCCAAGGACCGTTTTTAAGTTCCCCTTATTCAGCATTGTTATAACTTAACAGTCGCTGAACAAGTAGTCATAATCCAAGGACTACCTGTAGGCTACACGAAGAAGTCAAAAACATTAGCAGTATTTCAGAAGAAAGCAATGTCATGCCACTTCCACATTTTTGTGAAGAAAACTACAGTGATACCTCGGGATACGAACTTAATGCGTTCCGTGACTCTGGGCGTATCCCGAGTTGGTCGTAACCCGATGCAAATTTCCC